AGATTTGAGCACTTGCTGAAATCAGCTTAATTTTGTTGGCTGTCCACGCTGGCAGTCCCCAAGGCAGATGTGTCCTCTTGCTTGGCTCCTGAAGGTCATGCTGGGTCCCTCAGCTCATCCTCAGGGGATTCCATCTCCTCCTGAGAAATCAGGGGTGCAGGAGCTGGTAGAAAGGCTGTGACATTCCATTTGGGGATTTTGGCCCCATGGTGCAGAATTTGTGCAGCTTGGCCCAGGCCAGTGTGGACACACCCATGAGATCTCCAAGAGATGCTCTCGGGCCAGGTGACCCCAAAATAAGTAAGAATCAGCAACTGCTGAACATGAAGATTTAGTCAAAAGGGCCAAACATCCTAATGAGTAATTTATGTTTTTATGGAGACTGGCTGAAAATAAAGACTTGCTACCAACCAAACAAACAAACCACATTAAGATTCCTCACTCAAATACTTACATATCAGCACATAAAAGATAAACTTGCCCTTAAGATTTATTTCACCATCTCTATCACCTGTTAAGTTTAAACCAAGCAAATGCTCCTCTTCTCTTCATGAACCATAAGATACCTTAGGGACCTCCCTGCTTTGCAGCAGGGTTCCCTTCCAGGGTTTACATCCTGGTAGAACAACACTGTTCAGTGCTGAGGAGGGCAAACCTCACCCACATGGAATTTACACCACTTGGACACACATGAGTCTGTGGGCCTGTGGGTGTTGTCTACTTAAATTTTATTAAAGCTTTTGATACCATTTCCCAGAGCATTCCCTTGAAGGAACTGGCTGCTCCTGGTATGGACTGCTGTACTCTTTGCTGGGTAAAAAACTGCATGGCCGAGCCCAAATGAGGGGTGGAGTCACCATGGAATATCCTGAGTTGGAAGGGACTTACAAGGATCATCAAAGTCCATCTCCTGGCCCTGCACAGAACAGCCCCAAGAATTCCACCAAGTGCCTGTCAGTGTTGTCCAAACACCAATGGAGCGCTATCAGCTCAGTGCTGTGATCACAACCCTGGAGAGCCTGTTCCAGCACCCAACCACCCCCTGGGTGAAGAGCCTTTTCCTGATATCCAACCTAAAACTCCCTGACACAGCTCCAGAGCCATTCCCTCCGGTCCTGTCACGGTCACCAGAGAGCAGAGATCAGTGCCTGCCCCTCCTCTGCCCCTTCTGAGAAAGCTGTGACTGCAGCAAGGTCTCCCCTCAGTCTCTTCCAGGTTGAACAGACCAAGTCATCTCAGCCACTCCTCACAGCTTCCCCTCCAGACCTTTCACCTTCCTTGTGGCCTCTCTTGGACACTCCCCAACATCTTTAACCTCTTTAAAGTTTCTGGAGCCCACAGCTGCCCCCAGCACTGGAGGTGAGGCTGCCCCAGTGCAGAGCAGAGCAGGACAAACCACACAAATTTTCTCCCTGAAATGTTGAACAACTCTGTATTCCCTCCATGTCCCCTGACCTTGCTTCCACTGGGCATACAGCTTCCTTTTTTGCCATATTTCCAGAAGAAGATCCCTGCTCAGCCAAGCCAGCTTTTTATCTTGTCTGCTTGACTTCTGACATCTGGGGAATTGTTCATGTGACCTTAGAAGATGATGCTTAAAAAGTGACCAGCACTGATGGACACCAGCACCTGTAAAAACACTTTCCCAGAGAACCTTACCCTCTACTTCCCTGAGCAGCCTGAAGTCATGTCCAGGGTTGGAGTTTTGCTGGCACTTTTCCTCCTTGTCAACTGAGATTTTAAAACTCGATGGTTTTGTGATCACTGTGGCCAAGTGATCACAAAACCCCTTTCACTCATGAGACCCTCTCTGTGAGCAAGCAGCAAATCAAGGAGGGCATCTTAGTTGGTTCTCTCAGTACCTGTACCATGAAATCATCATCCAGGTTTGTAGGGACCTTCTGAACCTCTTTGTGCCAGCTGTGCAGTGTTTCCAGCCAACATCTGGCAAGTTTAGTCCCCCATAAGGACAAAGGCTCCACACTTGGAGATGTTTCAGTCCTGTAGAGTGGTGCTCAGGGGCATGGCTCCGTGTTGGGCCAGGCAGTGTTTGGTTCATGGCTGGACTCCATCCTCTCAGAGTGATTTTCCAAGATTCTCTCTTTCTGTGCTAAGTGGGAAAGGGGTTTTGCAGGTCTGTCCACACCTGGACAGCAGGAGGGGGCTTGGGGTCACTTTGAACATGTGCAGTTATGGGCAGGTGCTTGTGGGAGAGTTACAGGCTCTCACTGGCCTTTTGGTCATTGGGACTGCAATGGGGTGGATGGAAAAGCTTAAAAACTGGGAGCTGGGGTGCAGTGGCTTGCTCCAATACAACTGAAAACCCAGGCAGCTGGGACAGTCTGATGAACTGCTTGATCTGACCCCCCAAAAACCCGTGGGGGTGTTTGTCCCTGAACATCCATCATCCTGTCAGGCTGTGATGAGCTGGAAGGGAAAAAAAAAAAAAGATTTTTTTTTTTATTTTGCTAAATGATGATTGACATTTTAAAAGCAACATTGTCAAAGCTGCATGTCAAACAGCCTAATTGCCTAATCTGTATGGCTCCTAATGACAAGTTAGACTCTTACAGCTGAAAGAATTTTAAGCATCTAATAATTTATACATCATCACCTGGGCTATTTGCTTTCCACACTTCAGTAAATGTAGATGAGGAGAGGAGCTGCTTGCATTTCGAGGCAATTTCACCTGTTTCACTCAGTCCTGTGTCAGGATGGTGCTGCCCTAGGGGAAATCACAGCCTTCAGCAGAAGCTGGTTAAAATGTTGTGATGAAAACACTCACTTTTACATTAGGACTCTTTTTTTTTTCCCCACTCTAGTAGTTGAATATTTTTTTCTTTTATAAGACAAAAAGCATCTTGGGCTCTGCTTCTGTGTCACACTGGGGTATTAGCACCACTTTAATTTCAGGTTAGAATATTATGTGTTATAAATGGAAAAATGTTTTTTACTCAAATAGCCAGCACAGAAACAACACTTGGGCAGTAAACTGAAAGGACAAGTCTGTCCCTAACAAGCTATAGCTGGCCTCATTTCATTGATTAGCTAATTGCTATCAGCTAATTGCTGGCACTGGTGAAGCAGGGCCTTATATGAGTGAGTGGGCTGTCAGATCATGCCCTTTGTTGTAGGGATGTGTTTTGGAGAGGATCTGAGGAAGGTGGTGATCCCACTTTTGCTCTGCCTGAGGGATTATTTTGGAGAGAGACAGGGAGATTTTTTTTGTATGTTTTGTTGGGTTTTTTGGGTTTTTTTGGTCTTTTTTAATGTTGTGCCTCTGATAAACCTTTGCCATGAGGCCTTTGCCCTCCCCATTTATTCTGGCCCTGCTCTTGATGCCCTGGGTGCTGGGGCCAGCTCCTGCTGGGCAGGGTCCTGGGGTGATGCTGGGGCCCTGCTGTGATGCTGCTGCTGCTGCAGGGGTGAGTGAGGGGCAGTGGGGACTTGGTTCCCTGTAGGAAACTCCCCTCTTGGGTGTGCTGTCCTGCCTGCTTGCAAATCCCTTCTGTGTGGTCCTGAGTGATTCAAGCCTGCCTGGCTTTGCTTGCTGTGTTTTGGGGCTGTTTTTTTTATTGGCTGTGGTTCAACAGCACAAATCAGGCACAAATCAGTGAATGGAGAGAGGGGAGAAGGTTTATAATTGCACGGAATAAATGATGGGATCTTGGGATTCAGTCCTGGTGTAGGCAAAACCCCAACCCACCAGGCTGGGTTTGGTTCTCCCTTCCCACTGGGCTGGTGTTGGCATTTCTCTGAGCATTGTGATAAACATTAGGAATTGGTATTTGGGTCTGCAATTGGACTATTTTTTTTTTTAATAGTCAATGGGATCCTCTCAGAGGTATTGGAAGGCTAAACCAGGTAAGAATTAGTTCTCAGATCAACCTCTGGCTTTCTTTTTTGTTTGTTTGTTTTTGGGTGGTTTTTGTTTGCGTACTTGTTGGTTTTGGGTAGTTTGTTTTGGTTTTTTGGTGGGTGTGTTTTGTTTTTTTTTGGTTTCTGTTTTTTTGTTCCCCCAGAACTTGTTGGATACTTTAAGCCACCAATAAGTAGTGTGGAAAATTAGGAGTGACAATCTGGCTGTGGGGGGGTGGGGACAGTGAGTGGCTGTGGTTGATCAGTGCTGGGGTAGGGAAAAAACAGTGCTGGTGTGGGAGATAACTTGTGCCACTGTCCCATGGCTGCCAAGTCCCTGCCACAGAGCAGGTCCTGCAGGCAGGAGCAAAGCACTGCAGCAATTAAAACAAGTGGCAAAAGTTCAACCTAAACTTTAAGTGTGCTCCTGTAGGGTAAACCTGTCCTGAGCTTTCCACTCTTCTGGCTTTGAGAAAGTGGTTTTGGAAAACACTGCTTTTCCCTGCCTCAGGAAAGCTGCTTTCCCCTTTGAGTGTTGTGGGAGATGCTGATGTTGGGGCTCTAGTGGTTTCTGGCTTGGCTGAGCCCTTTAAACCAAAGAGATTGAAAATGCCTTCAGGAGAGCTTTGTCTCCCAGCTCTGCATGTGCATAAACAGCAAACCTGGCCCACAGGCTGAAACCAAACGTAGCAGTGCTCTCTTTGCTTTCCTAACTCACCCAGCTGGGGCAGCTCCCTGAGCTTTTAGCCCAGGTCCCTAAACAGCCTGACCTGCAGAGCAGAATCTGCCTCCCTGGGACAAGTGGCACCCACTGTGTGGCTGTCCTGGGACCTCTGAGCTCCTGTATGGCCATGGGGGGTTTAAAGCAGGAGTGTGCCCTGCTCTGGGGCTGTAGCAGTGGGGGCACAGCCTGGCTCTCTGTGGAGCAGGAGGTGGTGGTGGCCAGGGCTTCTCCAGCTTCCCAAGGGCTTACTCCCATGTTTTCCCACTCATGGGTTTCCATGTTGGTTGGCAAATGGGAGTAGGAAATACCAAAATGGGGAGAAGAGGGATCCTGAAGATAATTTCTGGAAATAAAGATGGTAACTGTTTTTTGGAAGTGGAAATGGGGGAAAACTTGGTTGTTGCTTCTTGTCTTCCAGAGCTGGAATCTCCTTGGATAATGGCCTATGTGCCTATAAGAAGCTGCCACAGAGTGCTGAAGGACAAATATGGGGAGTTTTCTCCTCCAGCATTCCAGACTGATTTCCCTGTAAGCTTTTGGTGCAACTGGACAATCTGGGCAGGCTCCAGGAAGCACATCGTAATTTATATCCAGGGATTTATCACTAAGGATGCTTGCAACAAAAATGAGGACAAAATTCTGTTTGAAGGGGTCTCCTCCCTGGTGGAAAACAGTGTTGTTTATGCCTGCTGGAAAAAGGAGATGCACGTTTTTGCCACCTTTGCTCAGGCTGTCCACGTTGTGCTGCTGAAGAGGTACTTGCCAAACCAGGGAGATGCACGATTTAAAGGGAAGTACTACATCTTCCAAGACCAGCAAGGTGTCTCTCCCTCCAGTGGTGTAATTTCTGGAACTTCTGCTTCAAAACTGCCAAAGAAAGGTGGTGGTTTTCAGTCTGGCTGGGTTGAAAACCTTAGAGATGCACTGGGCTTTGCAGCCACACGTGGCAGCACCACCGTGCTAAGCAGTGAGCAGACGCAGGCAAGAGGGATCCCTCTGGACACCACAGCTGTGGGAAGTCCTGCAGAGCTTATCCCATGTGAACGTGCAAGGACACAAGCTCTAGAAGCAAAAGCTCCTTGTGGGCTGGGGTCTGAGCTGCTGGAGCCTCCAGGCATAGGAGCACCTGAGGGAATAATCCCCACTGCAGCTCAGGACATCTGGGGGCAGAATCCCTCCGTGAGTGAGGGCAGTGCTGTCAGTTCTGCTCCTGTGCACAGCGTGCTTTTGGAAACTCCTTTGCTTGGTGCCTTCCAGGGAGCAGAACCTTTTTGGCAGCCAGCAGGTGTGAGTCTGGAGAGCAGCCAGCCTGTCCTGAGCCCTACCCTGATGCCAAAGGGTCTGGGCCACCTGCAGCTCACCATTAAACCAACAGGCACGGGTCACCTGGCCTTGGCTGCACACTCTGAGCCTCTGTCCCCTGGCACAGGGCAAAGCCAGGAGGGCACAGGTCCCACCAGGGACAGCCAGCTCAGCACAGCCAGCCTGGAGAAGGATGGAAGCCATGCCCTGCTGAGTGTCCCAGCTGATGGCCTGGCCAAGGGCCTGATGCCCAGCCTGAGGAGCCCCTCTGACATGGTCACCAGGGGCCATTGGCAGCTATTTCCTGAGAGAAGCCAGAGCAGTTTGGGGCATTTGTCCACACCTAAACCTGAGCTGGGCACAATTGGCCTCCATCATACCAAGCTCATGGATATTTTCTCACGGGGAAGTTTTGGGGGAGCTGTCAGGAGGAGAACAGTGCTGCATCCCACAGCACCAGGGCTGGCTGTACCTGCTTTGGCAACAGGGCTGGAGCATCCTCTCACACCTGTGCCTGCCCTGGGGACAGAAACCATCCCTGTGCTGGTGACCTCCTCCACAGAGCCTGTCCCTGCAGACTTTGGCTCTCTGGATTTAGTTCCTGAAGCACCTCTTCCTCCACAAGTGGAGTCTCTGTCCATGGTGCCCTCTCCACCAGCTGCTCTGGATTGGGAACCTGTCAGTCTCAGGCAAAGGGACATCTCCCCAGCTAGCCCAGGAGGACAGGAGGTGGTCTCCCCTTCACCACCCTGCCATCCATCAGGAGCCTCTGAACTGGGCGCAGATGGGTCCTCCAGATGCCTTGGTCCTGGGAGGCAAAAGGTGGTGCTGGGACAGGGAGGTGAAACCACAGCCTCTCTGGGCTTGATGGCCAGGAGTCCCTCCCCAGTCTTTGTCACTGTCCCAGGGCCTGGTGTGAAGATTGCTCAGCCTGAGGGCCGTGTCAGCAGAGGCTCTGGGGTGACACCAACTTCCCTGTTGGACACCAGAGGGGTGCACGAGGTGCCTGTGCAGCATCAGGACGGTGCTGCTAGCGACAAACCTGCTTCTGTCTCCAGATTCAGGGGGTTTAAAATGCAGGGAACCACAGAAGCTGTGCAAGTGGGTGCAGGACAGAGGACAGCAGCACTCAGCAGCACTCCTGCACGCCCTGATCTGCCTGCAGCTCCGTGGGGAGAAACACTGCCAAGAGACCAAAAGCCCTGGGATCCCCCTGGTGTACCCGGGAACACCCAGATGGCAGCAGGACAGCAAGGGAAACATGCTGGTAGGTGTCTCTGCACTTTGTGTCTTAGCACAAGTCATCTTTAGAGGTCAAAAGTACTTGGTGGGGGCAAGGACAAGGCTGTGCCTTTCACCTGCAGTCTCCACCCAGCAATTATAACCTGTTTTCTGGGGAGAATTGGGCTGGGGTGACCCTGGCTGGACACCAGGTGCCCGTCAAAGCTGCTCCTCAGCAGGACAGGGGAGAAAAAATGTGATTAAAGGCTTGTGAGGTGAGATAAGGGCAGGGAGAGATCGCTGACTGTCTACCATCATGAGCAAAACAGACTTGACTTGGGGAAATCAGTTTAATTTCTTGCTAATCAAATCAGTGTAGGATAATGAGAAATCAACCCAAATCTTAAAACCAGCTTCCCCTCACCCCTCCCTTCTTCCCATGCTCAACTTCACTCTGGTTTCTCTACCTCCTCCCCTGCCTCTGGAAGGGCAGGGGAGTGGGACCTGCAGTCAGTTCACCACACCTTGTCTCAGCCACTCCTTCCTTCTCAGGGGAGGATTCCTCACTGGCCTGCCCAGTGCTGGGTCCGTCTTGGAGCTGGCTGGCGCTGGTTCTGCTTCACGCAGCCTTTCACAGAGGCTCAGCTCCAGCTGAAGTGTGGATGTATGGCTCCAGGGACTGAAACTACAGAAATCTTGTAGCAGGAGAGGGTCTGAAATGCTGCCTCTCCCATGGAAGCTTTCAGCACTCCTAAAAGTCTGATATATAAAATGTAATATGCGATATAATTTGTGACTATAATAACCTTTGATTGCATGTTTCTTTTCTGTGTTCCAAATGTGTCAGAGCTGGGCCCCCCCTGGGTAACAGAGTACTTTCCCATCAGGAGCTGCCACCTCACTTTCCGGAATGGGTCTGGCCTGTTCTACCTCCCGCTGCACATGGACATTAAACCAAACATCTGGTGCAACTGGACCGTCTGGGCAGGCCCCCAGAAGCACATTGTCATCTACATCCAAGGGTTCCAGGGGAGTGATGGCTGTGGCAACAACCAGGACAAGATCATCTTCCAGGGGGTCTCGTCACGCGTGGAAACCAAAGTGGTGTTTGCTTGCCACAACCAAGGCACTCTGATCTTTGCTGCACAAGCCACTGAGGTCCAGGTGTTGTTTCTGTCAGGGAGTGGTTCCAGAAGCCATGAATACAGGTATTTTAGAGGACAGTACTATGTATTCAGAGACTCTGAAACTGTGGGCTCTTCAAGTGATACTGATCTTCAAGCAGCTCCCCAGGAGACCTCTAAAAATGAGAGCTGGAGGACAGCGGTGACCAAAGGTTTGTTGTCCATGCTGACAGCTCCTCCAGCCCCACCAGCTGCACCTGCTGGTGGCAGGATCCAGCCTGACATTGTGAGCCCAGAAGAGGTGGGCAAGCATTCTCCTGATCTCATGGAAGATGGTCAGCCTGGTGCTAAGCAGAGTGAGCATGGTCAGGATGAAAGGAACCTTAAGGACAGTGTCAGCAAGGGACGAGAAACTGAAGATGACATGTTGGTGGAGCCAGCTCCAGCTGGGCAAGACACTGGGGGCAAAGCTGAGCCACCTGCCTTGGAGCTGTGCCCTGGGACACCCCTGGCCACCATGGTCCCATGTCACCCAGCTGGTTCCCCTTGCTCAGAGATGCCCAGCAGCAGTGCAGGTGTTTCTGACACATCACCTACCCTGGGTCAGGCCAGTGGCAGCCCCTCAGAAGTGGCAGCTGCTGCACATCACACACAGACACCAGAGCTGGCAGAGCCACCACTGAACACCAGCACAAAACCACCTCTCTACCCCTCTCCTGGTGTGACTGCTGCTGATGTGCTGTCTCTGGGAGGAACGACTGAAGAGCTCTTTGGTAAGGTGATTTTTTGGTTATTACTGGCTGAACTCATGCCTGACAATGTGCAATATCCACCTCCAGTGATGCAGCACTCTCTTGAGAGGTTTTATTTGTAGACATGGCTGCTACCTTCAGCTGGGCCATGTGGTACCACTCTTGACTCCTGCATCCAAGGAGGGAGGGACTTGAAGATAGAGAATTATCACTTCTAACATGGGCATCTATGGGATTATGCTGGGACATGCTGGTTTCTAATCCAAGTGTTTTGAGTTATCCATGGAGGAGCCAGCCTCTCAGCTGTGACTTCACCCCCAAAGCAGACTGAGAATACTCATCCTGGTTTTAAACAGCCCTGTCTTGCACTGATTCCCCAGTAGTCACAGTGTTCCCAGGCATGATCACTGAGTTTGAGCTCCAGAAGCTGGAGAAAGGTTAGAAAAATTCTTTGTCTCAAGAAAATTTAGGAGTTGACGGTAGGTCACTTACACAGGCAATATTTAGCTACTGATATGTTTTAATTTCTGTCTGAAAGCAGAAGATGTGTTCAGTTGGTATTTCCTCACCTCCAAACTGTTCTTGCCCCTCTCTTGTAGATATTATTCAGATTTTTTGATTTGCTGGCATGTAATGCCCAAGCTGTTTTGCTCCACTGGGATCCAAGGCAGCTCTGGTGATTTTACAGGATTAGAGTTTGTCTGCTTCCAGAAATGGCAATGAGGTTTATTTGGGTAATTTCTATCTAAAGAGTACTTTCTACTGTAGAGGAAAAGAGATTTCCTTCAGAGCCTGACATTTCATTTCAGTATGAAGAACAGAGGCAGGAGCTGGCACTTGGCACTCGTTTTGAAAAGTGGCACAGACCTAAAGTACTTTCCCTCCCCGTAACTGGTACATCAGTGATCGCAGCCTGATGCTTTCCCTTGCTTTGGCAGATCTGATGTCATCTGTGGGGAACGACACAGGACTGCAATCCCAGCACCATCCTGGAGGTGAGCCATGCAGAGTTAAGTGTGCCTTAAAACACTGCCCTAAGCCCAGGGAGCTGCCTGAGGCTGTGCTGGACATCACCTGCTCATTACATTATAGAAAGCAGTGGGAGTTGTTTCTGAGTAGTGACCACTCTGAAGATGCTATTTTTTAAGATGCCACTGCAATCCTGCAGTTGTGCTTTAGCCACTTTGTGTCTCCCCCGGAGAAACCCGAATTCAGGTGCCAGCCCTGACATACATGCTGGCTTGTTCAAGTCCAAGTTGGCTATTTATAGAAGGTTTTTCTAAGAAGAATGAACCTCAATTCCTCCAGTGTATTACAATGGATGTCCCATGACTATCAGGATCAGAAATGTGCAGAAATCCTGCTCAGACCAGGCAGAGAAGTTGCTCTCCCTCTTATGGGAGAGCAACTATACATATAAATGCAGGGTTTGTATGGCTCAGCAAGCCACAGAAACATCTTGCACAAAGGAGTCAATACAGAAGGAGCCTCAGCTCTGAACAAGGGAAATATTGATGAACAAATAGGTTTTAAATAGCCAGCTGACAAATCTGTGCCAGTCTGGATTCCAAGAGAAAACTGGCTTTTAGAATCCATCAATAATTATGACAATCCCTTTGGGAAACAGAAGGGCTAAAGGCATGTGAATGTGATTGGATATGTATTGGATTTGTTGCTTTGTGTCAGTTTTTCACTGAAAGATCAATTCTAATATTCATCAACAAGCATTCACTAAGGTTTGTTCACCTGTTACTCAACAATTTGTCCTACCTGATGCACAGCCCCTGGAAATGCCCCTGTGGCACTGACCTGCACAAGCATGGTGCTGTTCTAGTGTTGGTGCTTAAGGACTAACTCATTTAGGGAGCCTGTTTATGTGCATTTAAGCATGCCAGGATCCTTGTGTCTTCTGGCAGATGTGCTGTTTGAAGTCAGTGTTGAAATCAAACCCAAGGACTGGATTCCTCACAGTGGGAGTGAGTTCCAAAAGGGTCTCCTTGAATCTCTGAAGAATCATGTAAGCGTGGGCATGGGGAGGTGGAGAGGAACAGATGGGATGTCCCAAATCTTCATGTAGAAGAGACCATTTGGTGCTTTTGTGTTTGGGGGAGATGACCTGGAGCTAAGCAAATGGGAACAACAGGTATTCTTCTCAAGAAAGGGCTCAGAGCAGTGGGCTAAGGGACATTCTCTGCATCCCAGGGGTTTGTGAAAGGGGAGAGCAAGATGGGGTGCTGCAGTGAGAAAAGCTGTTTGCTGTCATACTCTTGCTTGTTGAACATCAAATCAGCACTGGTCACTCTGTTCCTTTGCAGATCCAGAAAAATCTGAAGCTTTCTGCCAACAGAGTCAGTGAAATAAAGTTAAAGGATGTCAAAAGGTAGGGTTAATGCTGTGCTGCTGGCTTGGCAGGTGACTGCTGTAACCTGTAATATTTATTGGATTAGCAGTGTCTTGGCTTCTCACTCTCCCTCCCCAGGAAGAGATATGTGTTTGTTCTTCTTCCTTGATCTGTAACTTGTCCTGAAAGTAGAAAAAAAAAATTTGTTTTCTAGAGGAAAGATGGTGAAAATTTGTGTTTAGTATTATCTGGGGCCTATATAGGTATAAAATGGATTTAAACTTTGGAGGAAAAGGAGGATGAAATCTCACCTGCCACAGTGGCTGCTGGAGAAAGCAGGGAGCTGTCAGCAGAGGCTGATCTCCAACAACAAATTGCTACTACAATTCACTTTACACAAATATCTGGCCATTTCAGCCTAGCTTCAAATGAGGAGCCACTCTTGGGCTTTCCTTTTTCCCATGGTCCAAGTGCAAAGCTGCCTCTTGGCACAGATCATCTGTGCAAGAGCGTACAGCACCACGATCCCATGTCAAGGGCAGAAGGTCTAAATGGGCCATCAGAGCTGAGCCTGCAGTGATGTTTTTTTTTCCTCCTGCCTCACCCTGGGCTCTCTCCTGCCCACAGGACGAGGGATGCCAACCTGCTGCTCACCTTCTGGCTGCACCTGGAGCCAGAGGAGAGGAATGTGTCTCTGCTCCTGCGCTCACAGCTGGAGGAGGTGCTTGGCACCTCGGTGGCTGTGGAGCATCTGCAGCTTGTTTCACTCTTTGTTGAAGGTGGGTGCTTCACTTTATTTATTTTTTTTCCTGGGATAAACCCTTTAATGCCAAGCCTGTCTTGACTTAGGGCATCTATTCCCCATTATAGATGTGAACGAGTGCCAGGCTGGGCTTGGCCTCTGCGGGGAGGAGGCGGAGTGCTTCAATGGCGTGGGCACCTACCTGTGCCGCTGCAAGAAGGACTACGAGGACCACTCTCCCAGCAAGTCCGGCACGCTCTGCATCCGCACTCCCCGGGCAGGTAGAGGATGGAACTGCGGCTCTGCTCCCTCCCGCGGTCTGGGGCTTTCCTGGCCTCAGTGGGGGAGCACACCAGGGCCAGGGGCTCTCTCCCAGCCGGGGTCCTGCACCTCTGCTGGTGTGTGTTGTGACTGGTGGCTTTAGGTGTCCCTGCCAGGTGTGGCGAGGATGTGGAATGCCTTTGCAAGGCAGTTCCCAGCTGGGAATAGAACCTCTCCATGAGCCTTAGGCTCCCTTCCCTCAGTCTCCTGCTTTCTCTGCATTGGGGCTACAGCCTGGCACATGTGAGCCCTTAAGTTATAAGCAAAGTGTGGTCAGGGGTGATTTATGAGCTACTTCTGCTGTAACTGATGTGATCAGCAAACCCTGTGGCTCCTGGGGGTGCCCTTTGTTCTCCTGTCACCCTGTGTAGATCTTGGTGACACGGACAGTGATGTCCCTGGTGTTTACCCCAGCTTTGAGGCTGAGCAGATGGCATGTGGTGCTTGACTATAATCAGTGGTGGCTAATCCAATCCAACAGCAGAGTAATGGAGCCTCACAGGCTGGAAAACAGCAATATTCTGCAATATGTGCTCCAAACACTGTGGCTGCTTTACCAAAACTACTTCACCACTGCTGCAGTAGTTTAAACCTTAATGTGAGCTCATAGCCAAATATAATTTCTCACTCTTCCTACCAACTCCAAGTTAATTAACAACTTGAGTAGTCTAAGGCTGTACAGATCAGCTGGTTATTGCTATATTCTAACACAGGTAATTTTGTAAATCCATCTTAATCTGTTGGGCCATGGGGAGGGTCTCTCCAGGCCTGGATGGGAACAGCAGCAGACCTTTTAATCTCCGTGTAGCTGCATGTGGCTCTGGCAATGGCTTTGCTCTGTTGGGTTTCTTCTGGGGTATCACCATCCTTGTGCTGCTCTGGGCTCTTGGTCTAAGTATTTCCCTGGGATGGAGGTTTGGGAGATGTGCTCCGGCCTGGAGGCAGACAGGAGGGTTCTTGGAGGGTGGCAGGGGCCGTGCTGGATTTCCCGGAGGAGATGTGAGAGACTTTGTGAGCACAGTGGGGTCCCTGGGGCAGCGGGCGCTGGGATGAGCCCGTGGCTTTTCTCTTGCAGGGATCAGCACCTTCCTCCGCCACGCTGACATGCTGGTGGGCGCAGCCCTGGTGACCGGCCTGGTGCTGCTGGTGGCCTTTGGTGCCCTGTGTGTCACGGCCCTGTGGGGACAGGCCCCCAGGAGGAGCCCCAGGCCTGAGGAGCCCCCGGTGAGGGCCGTGGAGGAGCCGGCCGTGGAGCTGCACGCCCTGGGGGAGTGCCTGCAGCTCGACCCCTTCCAGCTGAAGCTGCGGGCCAGGGCCCCCGAGTGGCTCTGGAGTGTCCGTGGCCAGCCCGGCCAGGCGGGACAGCGCTTCCCAGAGCCGCCTGCCCCGCTCTGAGGGGCCCGGGCCTCCGAGGCCTGTGCGGTCACTGCCGCATTTCCCCGAGTTTCTGCCACAGCCCCGGCTGTGCCAGCCCTTCTGCTGTGTTTTATGGACCATGAATATCCCACAACAGTGTTCCTCGTGTTGTAAGTTAATTTTTTTAATACTTGCTCAGCTTGGGGAACAAAGTGTTTGATCTATGCTGTGGTATGTCTGTTGATTTATCCTACTCGAGCTCTACACAGGAAAATTAAAAACTATTTTTTTTAAGAAAAAAGGAAAGAAAATGTTTTGGTGCTTAATATAAAATTAAAAATATTTCTGCATCCTGCTCAGTGCTGCCTGCTTTCTCCTGCCCCCAAGGCAGAGCTCTGTGGGAAGCCCTGGCATGGCCTGAGGATCTGTGGGGTATTTCTTACAGCCCGGCTGAGAAACATCTCCAGAACTTGACTTAAAATTTTGGTGAGAAACCTGCTCAGGTTATGGCAGGTGCATCCCTGCTCACTGAGTGATGGGGACAGCATTTTTGGTGCTTGGTGGAATTTTTGGTGATTGTGGCATTTTTGGATGCTGCCTGCAAAATCCCACCACCCCCTCATCCTGGCCGCATGTGAAGCACAGCTGCCTTCCCAGCTTGTCCTGCCGCTGGAGCCTGGTAACATCTCTGTTCATCTTTTTTTTTTTTAAGGGGGTTTCAATCCTCTTTCCCCGGGAAGAAGCGAGCATGGAGCGGCGGCAGATGCCCCGCTGGAGGGAGCTGTCTGCCTCCAAAAGCCCGGGACGGGGCTGCCTGCAGCCTCCCGGGAGATGCTGCCGGAGCCGGGCACGGCCGGGCTGCGGTCCCTGCTCACACAGCTCCGGCAGGGCCGCTCGGGGCGCTGTCCCGGCGCCCTTTGGGCGGGATGTGCCGGAGGTGGGGGCTGAAGGGAGCGGGATTGCACAGGGAGATGCCCAGCTCAGCGTTTGCTCTGCGCGGTCGGCTTGGAAGGGGCTGGGAATGGCCCTGATGTGATTCTCTGCAGGTGAGGATACTGGCGAAGGAGTCAAAAGGGACCCTGGGGTGTTTCCCTAGGATAAGTCGCTTCCATACTCCTCCCCCTCCTCCCAAAAAAAAAAAAAAAAAAAACCAAAAAAAAACCCCCCAAAAACCAACAAAACCCGCCCCCCAAAAAAACCCAAGAGCAAACAAACAAAAAACAAACCAAACAACAACAACAAAAAAACCACCCAACAACCAAAAAAAAAAAAAAAACCCCCACAAAAAAAAAAAAAAAACCCCCACAAAAAAAAAAAAAAAACAAACCAAAAAACAACAACAAAAAAACCACCCAACAACCAAAAACAAAGAAAAAAAGAAAGGGGCAATTCCTTTATCTCAGCTGTTGAATTGCTGAAGAAGCAACATTTGCAGTATGGGGGGGATTTGACAAATTGATTCAGCACGGATTGGGGCACTGTAAATGCCGGTGTTGGCAGAGCCGGGTGAGAGCACGCTGTTTGCACTGAGGTGATAAAGAACAAACATCCTCCGGGCCCCTCTGGCGAGGCGTGGCTGTGCTGCTCTCCCGTGACAGGCTCATCCAAATTAGCTGCTGCTGATGGGGCTCTCCTGCCTGCAGACACAAGTGAGGCAGAGCTGGTGCCTCCCTGCACACACTCCCTCAACAGCAGCTCGCTTCAGCGCTGCTGCCATCCGGTTTGGGGTCGTGAAACAGAAAAACGGATCTCCTGAAGACACCCTGATCATTGCTTCCCTTGACATACGTGGAGCAATCGCCTCTTACCAACCATTTTCTATGCATGGTTTTCAAAGTATTTAGTAAATAGCAGAGAATTAAATGCAAACATCTCCCTAGGAGGCAGGTAAGTGGGTGTAATTTTCCATTGTAAGAAAAAGGAAATCATTAGTGTGTTTGCACAGAGTGTGCTTGTTTCCTCACTGAGATCAAAGAAAAGCACTAGGGGCTAAAATAGTACTGTCATTATCTTGGCTTTGGATTTGGTCAGTCACCATCTCCTCTTTTCCCTTCTTGGATCCACAAAAGGGCTTGGGGGCTCTTCAGGGTTGCTAACTCTTCTCTCTCCCTGTCAGGTAAGATTTGGATCCCAAAGCCAAGCACCTGATAAGCAAATGGATGCTTCTGCTTTCTTCCCAGCTTTTCCAGGAGCAAGGTGAGCCTCACACTGTGCTCCCCTGTTGGAAGCCAGCTCCTTTAATAGAGATGTAGTCTGCTCTGTAACCCAAGCATGAGGATCATCCATAGATGATCCTCCCACTGGATCACCTTTCCCTGCAGCTTTCATCCAAACAGAATGTCCTGCTGATGCAAGGGCACAGAGGAAAGCCTGGAGGGATGTGCCTGGCAGGGCTTTCTGCAGCCAAACCCATCTGGGCTCTGGGTGCGTGCAGGAGGTGGAGATGGCATGCTGCCCCCTCTTACCTGCTGTGAAGTGACAGCACCTGCCCCTCATGGCTGTGCCTGGGAGAAATGTCAGGCTTTTACTGGGAGCACCTCAGGTATGTGTGTGATCTGTGTGTGAATCAGCAGGACAGAGCCAGGGACCGAGCCCATTGTGAACAGTAGTTACCAGGGGTTTCCCCTGTTATAAAAATCCACCATTTCAGTCCCAAATAGTGTTGCTTTTTATTTTCCACTATGTCTAAAGAAACTGTTTTGCCTTATGAACTCTAGGCTGGCTTTAGGAACAGCCCATCCCTCCTTTCCTGCTCTCCCAGTTGAATTGAGAGGGGATGACATCCCAGAATCCCAGGATGGGCCAGGCTGGAAGGGACCACCATGGGTCATCTGCTCCAACCTCCCTGCTCAGGCAGGGCCATCCCAGAGCACATGGCACACGAGGGTGTCCAGATGGTTCTTGAATATCCTCAGAGAGGGAGACTCCACCACCTCTGGGCAATCTGTCCCAGTGCTCGGGCACTGCACAGGGAAGTTCTTCCTCATGCTCAAGTGGAGCTTCCTGAGCCTCAGCTCCTGCCCCATTGTCCCACTGCCTCTTGTCCCATTCCCAGCCCTGCTGAGCAGAGCCTGGTCCAGGCTCTGGCCTTTCCCTGCAGGCTCTGCAGACATTGGTGAGGCTCCTCTCAGTGTCTCTTCTCCAGGCTGAGCAGGCCCAGCTCCCCCAGCCTCTCCTCAGAGCTGAGGTGCTCCAGTCCCTTCATCATCTTTGTTCCCCTCTGCTGGACCCTCTCCAGGAGCTCCACGTGTCCTGAGGATCCCAGGAGTGGGCACAGCACTCCAGACTGGCCTCCCCAGGGCTGAGCAGAGGGGCAGGATCTCCTCCCTGACCTGCTGGCAGTGCAGCTCCCAATGCAGCCCAGGCTCCCCTTGGCCTCCTTGTCCCCCAGGGCACGGCTGGCCCATGGACAGCTCCAGCTCCTTCTGTGCAGAGCTGCTGCCCAGCAGCTCACCCCAGCCTGTGCTGGTGCCTGGGGTTGTTCCTCCTCAAGGGCAGAGCCCTGCACTGGCCCCTATTGAGTTCCAGGAGGTTTTTCCCTGCCCATCTCTCCAGGCCTTTGAGGTCTCTCTGAAGGGCTCAGAGCCCTCTGGGGTATCAGCCACTGCTCCCCCCTTCCTGGCACCAGTGAACTTGCTGAGCAGGCACTCTGCCCCAGACTTCCTTCCCTCTGCTGCAGGTCAGGGTACTGGCATCTGCTCTTCTCTCACATCTGCTGTGGATTGAATTAATAAACAATAAAACAAGACAAATCTGCTGGATCTGTAAATCTGAATTTGCTCAGAGATTGACTGGAAGCTCTGCTGCTTCTGACATGGAAAATGAATTTGTAACCTCACTGTGCAGCACTGCTTGCTCACAGCCCTTGGCCATATGAAATGACACACTCTGGTGATTTATGGGCCACCACAAATGATTTTTTTCTTTTCAGTAGGAACTATTCTCTTATGCTTTATTGCTGTGTGTGCAGAGGTTTCAGAGGATCCAGGATTTACTTGGAGATTGAGACATGCCCTAGGAACTGCAGGTGAAGAACCGTATTTGTACATCAGCTGATATTTGGGTTTTTTTGAGAAGACATTTACTAAGCCTGGTTGAACACATTCTCCCCAAATCCTTCAAGTTCATCTGACTGTTTTTTCCCTGGATTTTGAAGAAGGCAGGGCAAATCTCATCTGGCCACAGAGCACTCGGACATGAACCATCAAGCTAGGGCAGAAGATATGGTTGCAGTTCCTTCTGGGACACCCTTCATTCTATTTGCACCTACTTAATCAGAAAAGCCAAGAAAAATTGGAGATGCCTCATTCAGCCTGTGGTGGCTGTGGCTGGTAGGTTAATCTGAACAGTGAAAGCAACAAATAATGTGTGGTGACAATCACTGTGAAGGGAGATGCTGGACATAAGTTGGGTTTTCTTTCCTACAGCAAGCAGAGAGCTGGGAAAGGGGTGTGGGTGCTCACAGCCCACTGGGATGCCACTTGTGTGTCTTTGCTGCCCATCACTCTCTGCCAGCTGGTAGAGGCTGGGGTATTGCTGAGGTCATTGTCATGCTGAGGGAGACCTCCAGAGGCTCAGATGTCCTTGTGTGAAGTGGTGCATTTAGGAGGACACTAGAGTGAAAATGTGGGAGTGTGGCTGAATGGTTTGAATGGCATTAAGCTGTAATACAACCACAAACAAGGGACAATCACCCCTGGAGAAAGTGGGGTTTGCCCTATCAGCTCAAGTGCAGAAAATTGTAGCAGTATTTTGTTAACTAGCTGAGTGATACTCCCTCAAGTGAGTGACTGTGATTAAGTGGAGATATATCTGTGACAACTTCAAATTAATGAGGCAGAGCAGAGAAATGAGGCCTAGAGCTGTCACTTTTCTTCTAGCCTGGTCTAAAAGCCTGTTCTCCATCCCAGGGGATGCAGCTGCAGCTCCCTGCCTGCCCTGTGGATATCACCTGAGAGTTTGATTTCTCTGCTGGAGCTGCTGCTGCACACACAGTGATCACCTGCAGATGTCTGTGCATGCAAGCAGGGACTCTGCAGAGATGGAGGCTTTTGGGGAGTGAGGAGCACTCTCTAAATAGTCATATTTCCTAGAAGGAGGCAGCACAGACTGTGAATTGGGTCTGTTCCCAGAGCATCTTAACTCACAAGTGATTAGCTGTTAATTATTATGCAATAAATTACTTTAATAAATGAGTATTCTTCACAGCACCTATTGTGCTACATGGCATCAGCTGAACTGTGTGAAATACATGTAATTACTGTCACAGAAATGTAATTATAGCTCTCCCCCACCCTCAAATTCTTGTGTGTCCATCAGCCATGGCATGGGCACTTGGACCAGGGCTCCGTGCAG